TTCAAATATTTTCAAGTGTTTATATATCTACTCGATCTGTATAATTTTTAAAAAGAAAAAATTTATATAAAGTTGAAAATAGATATCCAAACCATTATACGGACACCAAAACTGACTCTAAGCAGCCTTATATAAACTTCACTCTTCTCTAAATTACCTACAATTATCATTATAAAATAGGTCATCTTGTGGAAATTACCAAAAACTACACTCCATATTTGACCCAAAGATTATTGTTCTAGATCTCTTCCGGTCCATTATTTTCAATAAGAAAACTATCAAGGAAATGGACATGCACCAGTTGATGTCGTGCCAATAGTATTATATTAAAGGACCTTCTTTTTTAAAAAGAAAAAAAAAAATTGTGACATATAGTACAGGACTATCCAATCTTGAAATTCCTACTTTATTTATTAAATAGATTAAAAAGAGGGCCACCAAATTGTATGATGGGAAAAGATAACATGATAGGATCCATTATAAGAAAAGACAATATATTAAACAAATTGAAGGAACATAAAATATCTAATAATATGTTTTCTGATGCATTCTCATTTTAGTTTCCATGTTTTATATTCAATTAAACATATTTGGCCTCTCGAGACTTACGCAGGGAATAGGGGAAACAACACGGTTGGTAAGGTCATGGAGGTATCATTGGGCCATATACAACTTATTTTGTTTCTGTGTTTGCATGATGTTATATTTTTACTTGTTTATGGAAGTGGGGATAGAGAGATGATGTTATATTTTTTTTTATGGAAGTGCGGAGAGATAGATGATGTTATATTTTTTTTTATGGAACTGCAGAGAGAGAGAGAGGTCATTTTGAAAGCTACATCTATATTATTTTATTAGGAAAATTTACATAAAATTTTTATTTTATTTTGAAAATTTAATAAAATTCCTATATATATTTCATGTTGTACAATTGAGTCCCACTATTTAAGAGCCTATAATGTATTTTATTTTTAAAGTTCAATTTTGGTAGGTTCATAATTCTCATTCCAAAAAATATTTGAAAATAATTTAAAATAAATACAATTATAAAAAATAAAAATGTTTCATGAGTCAGCGAGCACAAGGGTCCCTTGATTTACAAACCGCCCATCCTAAAGATAGACGTTATTTAGAGTGTATTCTCTATAAATAAGATATGAATGGTGCATAAAAAAATATTAAACATTATATATTTACTCTTAAAAGTTTATTTTCCTTTTCATATCATGGCCTAGATGATGAATCTACAAAAAAGAAAAAAATAATCTAAAATAAATTTTATTGGGGAGCCGCATATATATATATATATATATATATATATATATATAGAGTCGACCACTACACACGAACCCACTACTAACTAAAAACTAACCCTAAACTACTACAGTACGTAGTATAGTATCTTACTTATTTAATTTTTAAATT